CAGAATCCCTTACACTTTGATCTTCTCACAAGGTTCAACATGATCTCTAATTTCAGAGGTTAATTCAGCCTATAATCACTGATTCAAGGTAACCTAAATTCTTGTATAACTTGAGGGGAGAAATATAACCCTACAGAAGCTCATGTCAGCTGATTCACTTTGACTGAAAAACAATCCATTTGTTATTCATGCCTGGCAGAGTTGCTCCAGGACAAGGATGCTTTGAAAGCCTTTTAATTCTTAACCCAATTCTAGAACTTTTCAGCGTAAGCACGGAACTACAAAAAACAAAATTATGAATATTTGTAGTGAAATAACAGTAAATGCCACAAATATAATAAAGACACCACACATTCAGAGCCTGGGCTAAGATATGAAAGCTTCATTTGTCTGAAATGCAGCAAAAACTAACATAGTCATTTTTGAATGTTAATATGAACCACTAGTATCCAAAATAGATGCATTACACTGATGGAAAAGAGCAAAAAGGGGAATGTATTGGGTTTTGTGGCAAGGTTTGAAGCAGGGGAGGCAAGAGGAGTGGCTTCTGGGAAAAGTTGCCAGAAGCTTCCCTTATGACTGATGCAGCCAGTGCCAGCCAGCTCCCAGATGGATCCATCCAAGGCTGAGCTCAGCAGAGATGCTGGTAGTGATGCACTGCAAAGATTTTTGTGCACATTCAAATGCCAGCCCCAAAGAGCAGGGAAAGGCTGACCCAGAGGTTGCATGTGAAAGAATATGAAGGTGAATCCTTCCGTGAAACTGCAGTTTAGTGGAGAAAACAGCAGGAGAGAAGCAAAACTTCATAGTAGGTGATATTTTATAAATAATCCGCATGATGAAAGAAGCTGATAAACTCACAGAAAAGTTAGACAATCAAAGAACACAAATGTGTCCAGCAGGCAACCACCTCCTGAAGACAACATTCTGGCAATCTCCAAAAGTTTTGGAAAAGCATCAGCCCAAATTTGCTTCAAAACACTGTTTCAGGCTCAAACTTTCCTCTTGCCCAGGATTTAATTTTTAACAACAAAGAAATGTAATTACACTTGAATTAACAATAGTGTCCCCATTTCAATTTAGTTCTCCTACCAGAATAGTTGTAGCCACAGTATTTTTCCTACAGACTGCTCTGTATCCTGCCATAACCTCCCTGTGTAAATACCAACCTCCCTAAGCAAAGGAGCTCACTGCTCAAATGCTTATTTCATTTAACATCCCTGGGCAAAGAAACACGATGTGGTGTTCCAGGAAAGCAGGTAAATAATGCTCATCTCTTATTAGATCACATATGAAAATAGCAGAAGGTGTGTGGCAGAAAAACAATTCACTTCTCTAACTGTACCTGCAAAACACTCACATTGTATGCCCAGAGAAATCTGTCAGTAAAATACAGCTAAGACTGTTTCCATCTGTCTGCTCAAGTGCTGGACACACAAGATAAAAAATGCAACAAACAATGTAATTCATTAATGTTCATTATTAATTGAACTAAATAGGGCAAGGAGCTCCCCCCCCACTTCATATGGAATGGAATAATTTCTGACATTAGTCATGCAGCACATCTCCTAAAAATTATCTAGATTTGTAACTTATTTGTTTACTAAACCCAAGAAATTAAAATAAAAAAAAACAAAACCCCCAAACAAACAACCTAAGCCCAAAAAGCCCCAAGGGAATAGATGGGAATTCACCTTTTCTGTTTCCATTACACACAAGAGTGTCTCTTGGTATTTACATCATTATGTAAAATAGATTTTTCCTGATTCTACCAACTCTTTTGGACTGACTTTCTCTTTAAGAGAATTTGCAGTGGTGTTACTGTACTTCTGCTCCTTTTATTTTTTGTGTATTGGTATGTTCTTCTAAATACCTGGGAAAAACACCTGAGGCTTTACCATCTAAAAAAAAAAACCCCACAAGTCACCTTTTCCTTGTGTTCAAACATGAGTAAACAAGCTGAAACTGCTGAATTATCACCACATCTAAATGCAGCAGTGATCTTACTTAATTTGTCTTCTAAGGTAAGATGTCTAACTCTTTCTTAATTAATATCATTACTACCTATAGCAACAGAGTTTTGCAATGAACTTGAAATTGAAAAATTTTCTTTTGAAAATCTTTGAGTTAGGATAGATATTTTCAATAGTCCAGTAATTTTTCCATATTTCTTCTTCCATAGTGATGGCAAAACAAGAAAGACGACTGCATGGAAAATTGGGAACTATGTCAGTGAAGCCTGTAAGACATGAAAGGTGAGAAAATTGGGAAGGAAATCACCTAAGATGACAGCAGCTGTAAAACCAGTATAAAGAATCAGATCCTGGGATGGAAAAGAGATTAATTGGGTTATAGAAATGAAATAAGATGCTAAGAAGGACATCCTTTCACAGATTTCTATAGCATAAGCAGCCTCTATATATACAAGGCCTCCATGCCAGTTCAAATGCACAGTCTCTTTTACAAAGCAGCACTTACACCACTTCAGCTAGACTTTGTCCTGATAATTTTAGAGGGATTTTACCTGTATGCCTTAAGGCACAAATTCCCACCTGGTCCTGAATACTGGTGTAAAGTTTCAGACTCTGTGATGGTTCACCTGCTTTCCTAGAACATCAACAAATGTTAATTCTATCCTTATGCAATAGAGCGTGCAATCCAATGTTTCTTTTCTGAAGAGGGGCTAGTAAAAAGCCATATTCACAATCTGAGGGAAAAGAAAAAAACCC